CCCTCACAGCCGACGAGGCAGCAATTACGCTTTGGGGATAAAACGAGGCGTGGAGAGCAGGCTGGGGCATTTCTCCCCGAGATGGCGGGTCTGACGGCGACGGCCCCGCGGCCCGGAGTCCTGCTGCTCCTGCTGTCCATCCTGCACCCCTCGCGGCCCGGAGGTAAGGGCCCCTCGCCCCGGTCCCCGGCGCTGCCAGCAGCGGCAGTCCTCCCGGCCAGGTGGCTGGACTCACCGGGAGACCCTTCATCTCCGGGTCCTCCGAGGGGTCCCAGGCAGGAGGCCCTCCTCGGCACCCGGGTCCTCGGACCGCGCCCCCCGGGAGCCAGTCCCGTGTCCAGGGAGAACCTGTCCAACAGACGCCCTGGACTCGGGAGGGTCCCAGGGCGGCATTCAGGCTTTGCTGCCCTGTCTCGCCCCGTGCCCGCCCCGTGAGAGCACTTTGAGGAAGCGCTCCGTAGGCACTGGCGGTCTGCACACCTGTGGAGGGGACCTAGGTTGGGGACCAGCTCAGCTTCAGTGACCTCAGCAGGTTCCTTGACCCCTGGGATGTCAGGATGACCCTCTGAGGAAGGCCAGGGCTTGGTTGATGGTGGGATTGCAGGTTGGAAAGCGACAGCTGTGTTCTGTCCCCGGCGAGGAGGGCTGGGACGACCGGGTATGCCCACGGGTGTGTTCGTATGGGCGTGTGGGCGCGCGCACGCATGACGAGAGCATCCAGGTGTGCCTGTGCGCCTATGCTCAGATGTGTCACTGAACAGGGGAAGGGCTTTCTGGGAGGGCTGAGTGCCGGCTCACAGGCTCATCCCCGGACAGGTGTATGTGTATGTCTGGGGGAGGTATGGGAAGGTGTCTGTCAGTGCGTGCACAAGGCTGCCACTGGCAGACATGTACACCTGGGAGAGCTGGTGTCCAGGTGTGTCACTGGGTGTGGATTGTCACTGTGCGCGTTGCTGAGCGTGTACAGATTGTGCACAAGTGCCTATGTGCGTGTGTGTGTGGACACGGAACACAGCATAGGAAGGCAAGCTGGGGAAAGTGTCTGTCACCTGGCAGAGGGAGTGCAGCCGGTGGCAGAGGCTGGAGTAGACCTCAGGGCGTTGCTGGACCACCTCTGAGGTGCGCCCCAACCCCGGGTGAGCTGGTCATCAGGTTCAAGGGTGCCCCCTGTGGGGCTGCTACAGTGGCCAGCGAGGGGACACTGACCAGATGGGCCAAGAAAGTGCCGCTCATGGGCCAGGAGGTGGGGGGCCTAGGGAGGTCTGGTGTCCATGGACGTCCTCCTTGCCATGAGAACCAAACCTTGAGTGGGGAGCAGGGAGGCCGCAGGGTGGAGTCAGGGGCCTGGGCAGGAGCAGCAGCTGTTTCCGTGAGATTGACCGGCTGGGCCCGCGGCAGCGAGCGGGGACTTCCTGTGTGGGGTCCACTCCTGGACGCGAATGAGGCCCAGGGACGTGGGCTCCAACAGGCGGGATCAGCAGGGGCAGCGAGCCAGGGCTTGGGGGCGGCAGCTCCAGGCCTGTCTGTGCCTCCTCCCCAGATGTACCCCCCAAACACCTGCCTGTCCCCCCTTCCCTGACAGTGCCGCCACCGACAGCCTGACGGTTAACAACCCCGGCCACCTTGAGAGTTGGGAATGATCAGCATCACTTGACAGCCAGGGAAACTGAGGCTGGGCAGGCCAAGACAGCTCCTGGGGGCTGGGGGCTTCATACCAGCCAGCTCTCTATGCCTGGTCAAACGATGAGGGGCTTGGGGCTGAGATAACAGGTGACTTTGGGGAGGGGCGGGTCTGGGGCTGAGTCCTTCCAGGAGAGTCCTGGGCAGAGTGAGCCCTGTCCTCGTAGCCTCGGTGACACCACGAAGGGCTCTGCTGGCCCTGTTCTTTGCAAAGATGGATCTCAGCTCTGTCCCGGGTGGCCAGACTCGCTGGGTCCAAATAAGGGGGCGTGTGCACCGATGAGGCCTTCTGGGGTTTTCACACAGCTGACTCAAGCCTGGAGGGGCCCTGGTCACGTGCTCCCCAGCACCACCTGGCTGTCCCAGAGAGGAGGGGACCCCTTATGCACGTTCCCCAGCTCTGGGGAACCGTGTTGGGGTGCGGGGGGGGGGGAACAAGAGAACTTCCCGGCAAGAGCAAACTGCCCAGCCCCCTCACTGTTTAGAGAGAGAGCCAGAGAAACCAAACCAGGTATAATTCTCTCCCCATCCCCCAGAAGTAGCGACAGGGGGGTTTTGTTTTTGTTTTTTTGCTTTTGTTTTTCCTTTCTGATTTCAGAGCTGAAGACGATTTGGAGCAGGGGTTTTCCACCTGGCTGTGCATTCGAGCTCCCCCTGCCCCAAGAATTCCTCTTTGATTTGGTCTGGGGAGGGGCCTGAACACAGAGACTTGTAAAGCTCCCCAGGTGACGGATGGATCGCCAGGGCCCAGAGGCTCTGGCTTGAAGGTTGACACTCCCGCTGCGAGTGTCTGCTGGAGCCTCGGTAGGAGGGCAAATGTGCCCCCGTGCGGGAGGGGAGGGGACAGAGTCATCCACCGGAGGACAGATTGTTTTTGAAAAAACCCTGGCAGCCTTCTCCATGCGAACAACAAACAGCTTCGTGCGGTCTTATCTGCTCCCCAAGCCGGCCCCCTGGACTTTGGCTTGGCAAAGCCCCCTGCCAAGGCTGGCTGGCCCGGCTCACTCCCAGACAGCCTCTTTGAACCTGGAGCCCAGGGCCCCGGGCAGAAGGCCCTGCGTGTGACCGGGGTCAGCTGCGGGTCCTGGACCAGGTCCTCCGGCTCGCTGGCTCTCTGTTTTCCTGGCTGCAAAATGGGGAGACATGTCCCTGCCCGAAATATCTCCTAGGGACAGTGGGGGAGTCTGGCATGTCACATCTGAAAAAAGGAATGCACCAAATAAGAGGGCCCTGGGATTATCCATGTTTTCAAACGATATATATTCTCTTATTCAGAGTTTGCTAACTCGGGCCGATCAGTCCTTATAATTAGTGAATTAGTGTACGTGTCTAAGGTTTAATTCTCCCTCTCGCGACTCACGCCAAGTTTTGTCTAGTGGGGGGCAGCTGAGGTGTAAACAGACATGCAGGATGGAGAAGACAGACAGGAGAGGGTGGGGGGAGGCCTGGAGGAGTCCCAGGAAACCCAGGGAGCCTTCACAGAAGAAGTGACATGGGAGTCAGCTTTTGTAAGACAGGAAAAGGTTTGAGAGGCTGTCAGCGAATGAGAGGTAAGTCTCAGTGCATGAGGTTCTGGCCGGCAGAATGGGAGAGACGGAGGAGCAGATTCTATCTCGAGAGGAGGAAGACCTCTCTGGAGGCAGACCTGGCGGCATCGGGAGGTGGTGATTTTCCCGTCGCCGGAGGTGTGTTAGCAGAGGTACAAGGGACGTTTGTGGAAGGAGCTCCGGGCCAGGCCAGAAGACCGTTAGGATCCCCGAGAGTCTAGGATCGCGAGGCTAAGATGCAAGAGACAAGTTCCACCCCGGGCTCGTGGGTGGAACAAGCCAAACCCACATAAAACAAGACAAGTGCACTCCGGGCCAGCTGCTCAGGCCCGTGCAGCAGCAGCAGCGCTGGGGAGAGCCGTGGGCTGGGGAGGGAAGCGGGGAGACCGAGCTCGGCCGCGGCGGGAGCGTAGGACTTGGAGGGAGGCGAGGGCACTCCTGGCGGGAGGAACGGCTCGTGCCAAGGAGGCGCGGTGGGAATGCCCCACGGGGAGTGGGGAGGAGGCTGCTGCCTTTTCAGAGCCCTTTATCAAGTCCTGTCCCCGTCTGTTCTTGCCTCTCCTGCACTCAGAGAGAGAAGGGCCGGAATTCTCTGCAGCCCCTGAGCCTTCTCCATTTCCTCTGTGCACCATGGGCCTCAAAACCTCAAGTTCCCCAGGCTGACACGGTTCAGGCGTGGAGCTTGGCAAACACCGCCGGGGTCTGCATTGCGGGGCTAGAGTCGGGAGGGGGGGGGGAGGGGAGGCGAAGACCGTTGCCAGGGTGTGGGAGAGCAGAACCCCGGGAGGGAGGAAGTCGGGGTTCAGCCAGGCCAGAGGGCTTGACAGGCCCAAACGGGGAGACCCTTAGGGCGGTTGGGGACGGAACAGGCCAGAGCCAGATCCACAGGCACCTCCCTGCCCCCCTCCACCTAATGCACCCATCATTTATTGAGCACCTACTGTGTCCCCAGCCCTGGGCCACGCACTGTACTGCACAGTGGGAGAAAATGGAAACTACGGGTTGCCCTCTTTTTATTTTTGAGCACATTCTGCGTGCCAGATCCAGGACAGGACATGGCCTTTGACTTGAACCCTTTGACAACTTGCAGCCACCTGGCAAGGCAGTCGTTATCAGCCACAGACTACAAAAAAAGGAAACTGAGGCTCAGAGAGGTTAAGTGACTTGCCCAAGGCCACACAGCCAGGATAGAAGCCAGAGAGATCTACCCCGAGCGCTCCATTCTTCTCAGCCACCACATTGTTCCCCACAGTCATCTCTGGACCCGGAGAGCAGAGAGGAGGAGCAAGAGGGCTGTGAGGAAGGAGGGAGCGGAGAGAGGAAGGAGAGAGGCCGAGGCGAGAGACGCTGAGAGCCAGCGCTGAGAGCTGGAGGCCAGAGCCAGGGAAGGCATCAAAGGCCCGAGGCAGGCCATGTGTGCGCTTGGCAGCCGATGACAGGGCCCAAGTCCCCATTCCCGGCAGACCCAGCCCCCTGCAGTCACCGCTCTGAGTCCCGGGGCTCTGACCAGACCGCCTGCACACTCCAGGCCTGGACTGCAGTCCCTGGGGGGCCACGGGCCCTGGGAGGGGGTGGCGCCAGGGCCTTGGCACAGGGTGGCCGTGACGGCCCAGCCGCCCAGACCCTGCTGGACTGCAGCTGAGGCCGACTGGGCCCCAGGGCCGGCAAGCCCAGCTGGACAGTGCCGCCAGGCCGCGGAGGCCGGACGTCTGGCTGCAGGGCCTTCCTGGACATACGGCAGAGCTGCCTGACGCTGTCCCCCGTCCCCACCCACCCCAGCGAGGCTCCCCAGGGCCCCGTTTGGGACCCGTCTGTTGTCATGACGATGGCTCAGGCCCGGGTCTGGGGCCAGCCTCGCCGTGTTCCCCCGCGAGAGCCCAAGGGGACACTCGTGATCCTGCCTGGCCAGTGAATTCGCTTTTCCTTAGGAAACTATTCACTTTGCTCATTCATGGTGTCCCCCTCTGGCCCTGGCGCCTCCTAAGACAGCCCCGTGTCAGCCAGCCAGAGCCCCACCCAGGCGCGGCTGCCCAGTGGCTGAGGACGCTGACCTCACGCCGTCCTATCAGTGTGGGAATGGCTGCGTTTTGCCGGCAGCTGCATCTCCTTACTGCTAGTTGTGGCAGCCCGGCCTGCCCTCCCACGGCTCCCCCCCTGCCGGGCTACTCAGCTCCAGGGAGGGTGGGCTGCCTGCTGAGACCCAGGCCCCCCATGGCCCGCTCCCTGGCTGCAGGCTACCGCCTCCAAGGAGGACCCGGTGACACAGCAAGAAGCATCCTTCTCAGAGGGGTGACCTGGGTCTGGATCCGGGCTTCACCGCTTTACAGCTGTGTGGCCCCGGGCACCTCCCTTAACCTTTCTGGGCCTGATTTCACATCTGTTAAAACCATGACGAGGAGCCCTGCCCTTCCAACCTCACAGGCCACTTTGAGGAGCAAGAATGAGAATACACCCTGTAAACAGAAACTGCTTTGGAGACAAGCAATGTCATTATCATCATTGCCACCATCCCTGTCTCCGTACTTGTATCAGTTCTGGCTCATGGAAGATTCTACCTGCTTCCTTCCAGGGGTCCCTGGGGCCATTCCTGGTGGAGTTCCTGGTGGGGTTCCGGGAGGAGTCTATTACCCAGGTAACGTACATGAAACCTTCACACCCAGGTAAGGCGTCCGGCGATGGTGCTTGTAGGAGCCCCACATTGTGACACGGCAGAAGGCACAGACATTGACACACCTACCACCAAGGACCCAGAAGTCGTGCCCACTTAAGGAGACACGGTCTTTCAGCTTTTGAGAGAGTACATTTTCTAAAAGATGCAGCCCAGTGCTTGGTGCGTTGGAAGGTGGGCAACCTCACACTTGCCTGCTGCAGAGAGGTTCCCAGTCTTCCAACCATGAATCCCACTCTTGGGAGTTCATTCCAAGGCAGTAATTGAAAAGAAGAGAAAAGGAATCTGCATCAAGGTTCATGGGAGTGTTATTTGCAATACATGCAAAATGACAAATCACCTGACAGGAGGGTGTGAACAATTAGGTAGCTGTAAAAAAGTCTGAATATGCCTTCTGTCATGCAAGAGGGTAAGTTTCTGAAGTAAAAATAGGCTGGGCACAGTGGCTCAAGCCTGTCATCCCAGCACTTTGGGAGGCCGAGGCGAGAGGATTGCCTGAGTCCCCGGGTTCGAGACCAGCCTGGGCAACATGGTGAGACCTCATCTCTACAATAAAAAAAAAAATAGCTGGGTGTAGTAGCATGTACCTGTAGTTCCGGCTACTTGGAGGGCTGAGGCCGAAGGATTGCTGGAGCTCAGTGGGTCGACACTGGGGTGGCCATGAGCGTGCCACCGCACTCCAGCCTGGGTGACAGAGTGAGATTCCAACTCAAAAAAAAAAAAAAGAAAAAGAAGCAAGACTGAAGTAAAAATAATATAAAAGCAATGACTATGGGCAGAGGGAGACAGGGAACACCCTCCCTCAAAAAAAGAAATGGACAGAATGGTAGGGTCTTTTAATTTAGAAAAAAAAAAAAAGCATGATTTTTTTTCAAGCCAATGAAAAATCAGAAGTCACATTTTCAGTACTCAAAAAGTATTTGAGCGTTCAGAACTGACATAGAAGTGGGGGAGCCACCTGTACTCCCCCAGATACAGACGGGATTGTTGGCCCGTGAGACAGATGGGGAAACTGAGGCTCACAGAGGACAGGACTTGCTTAAGGTCATGTAGCTAAGCAAAGACGGACTTGACCATGACTGGGGTGGAGAGCTGGCCTGACAGGGGAACTGATGGTTCTCCCCTCTCTTTCTCCACAGGGGCTGGTCTCGGAGGCCTGGGAGGAGGAGGTGAGCTCAGAAACCATGCATGTTCCTCACTGAAAGGGTCTGGGGCTCCCACATGTGTGCTCAGCCCTGAGGACCCCAGGAGGCCCAAGCATCAGGGGCCCCCTGATTTCACAGACAGAGCATCTGGGGAAGAGACGTGTCTGAGAACCAGAACCCACTGGCCTCCCAGGACTCCCTCCAGGCTCTTTCTCTAGAGACGTCTTTCCTTCTTTCATCTCTCCTTGGGCCCTCAAAAACTCCCCTGCCAAGCCCACTGCGCGGGTAGCACTGTCCCCTTTTGAAGCGGAGAACCTGGGTCTCAGAGAGTGTGGACCACAAATCAAGGGCAGTGCTGGGTTCCTGGCAGCTGCGTGACCAAGGCGGGGTACCCTCCCCAGTGGCCCTTTTAGGACCTGGGGCGTGAGATCCCACACCACCCTCACTCTGACCAAAGTGGGGCAGGTAGAGGTGAATAAATAATAGGGCAGGTAGGCTGGGGCTCCCCATTCACTCTGTCTCTTCCCTCCGCAGCACTGGGGCCTGGAGGCAAACCGCCCAAGCCAGGTAAGACCCGGGACCTCGGGACACTGAGAGCCAGCGCGAGAAGGGACTGAACTGCAAGGTTGGGTGCCTGGCAGGGAAGCCAAGGGCATGGCGAGGAAGGGAGACGTGGGCGGCATCAGCCCCCCAGGTACGAGCAGGCAGACTCGGGCCCCGGGGCTACAGGGACAGAGGCTGGAGACAGCTGGATGGCCATCCTTTGTGAGGTGTGCCCAGCCGCCTGGAGACTCCCCTCTGGCCAGTCCCAAAGACAGCCCTGGTGCTGGAGGCAAAGGTGGGACTTGCCCTGGTTCCAGGGATCCCCAGGCCTGCAAAGTGGCACTCTGGGGCTCAGATGTAGATGGCTGGCCCCAGACTCTACCTGGGTGACCCACTGACCCTTGACCCCAGACCAGAGACCCCACACGGCCCTGACCTTGAAGCCAATCTGAGCCTTATCCTGACTCCAGACGGAATCCTGGTCTCGAGCTGAATTCTGACCCCACATCCAGCCCCGGGCCTCACCCCAGGCTGAACCCTGACTCTGGCCCCAGATCAGCTTAAGCTCGGTCTCGGGCCAAGCCCTGACCCCCAAGCCTGGGCCGAGCGCTGACCCTGGCTCCAGAGGAGCGCCCATCCTGATCTCAAGCCCCTTCCAGCTGGGTCCAGACCACGGAGTTTTCCAGTAAGAAGGTGTGGCTGGATCTATCCTGGCCTCGCCCCCGGGGCCGGGATCTGCCACCAGGACTAACACTCAGCTCCAGGGAACGCACCCCCAGGAAGGAGGGGAGGCGGGTCCCTCCGGGAAACACGGGCGGATGAGGAGCAGGTGGAGGAAGTGGTGTCTCTGTCCAGATTCACGGCCCTTCGTCGTGAGACGCTCCACATGTGGCCTCGGCCCCCCAGCCGGCGCCGTGTTGCCCTGGCTCTGAAGCCCCAGGCTCCGGGACACAGTTGGGATGTCCAAGAGCTCTTATGAAATCCTGATGGCTGATGATTCAAGTGCAAATCAATCTACAAGACCCAGACTCCCCTTCACTGAAGAAGGCCCATCTGGGTTGTGAAACCGCAGGGCTGGGGCCAGACGAGGCAGGCGGAGGGGAGGGGGCTCCTGGGGCTTACCTCGTGCCCCTGCCAGCATCTGCACCCCGTCTTCCTGGAGGAGCAAGGGATCTCAGCAGGGTCTCTGATGGTGGAGAGGATACGGGGAAGGGCTGGACCAGCAAAGGCGGGGAGGTCGGGCTGTGCTTGGCCTAGAAGACCCCACCTTGGAGGTCATGCTCGCAAAGCTAGAGGGTGCGTTGATTGGCCCCGTGGGCAGCAGCGGACACATGGCAGGTTGTGATTAAACACTGGAGGAAAGACTGAGACCGCTGCATACAGAGTTTAGCATGGATGGCTGCTACAGAGTTTAGCATGGATGGCTGCTACATGGATGAAGCTTTGATTCATGAAAGATTTAGGTTAGACCTCCAAAAGAACTTCCAGCTCAGGGAGGAGGAGTAGACCCAAAAGAAAGTCAGCATCTCCTTTGATGAAAAGGGCACTGTCCCCAGGCAGAGGGCTACATTCCGTGACCCAGTCCCCTCTGAGATCATCTTCCAGCCTCAGGAGTCAGGGCCACAAAAGCCTTGGCAGACCCCTCTGGCGCCCCCAGGGAAGCTCCCCACATCCGGGCCTGGGGGGATGTCCGGGCCTGCCCAGGCAGGACGGAATGGGGCACAGGCAGCGTGTGTCGTGCCTGGGAACAATTAATCCCTTGGTGATAGCGGGTGGGTGGCCTGGCAGCTGTGCCCGCACGTGGGTGCCCCGGGCGCTGGGGCCGGCCCTCCCAGGGCACTCGGCGGGGGACCCGGCAGCTGGGAGCCTGCTCTACCCACACCCTGAGCCCCAGCTGGAGGCCAGCCGCCCACCAAGAGGGGCACGGGCAGTGACAGGAAGGAGCAGGTTGCACGCACTCGGTGCATCCCGGTCACAAGCTCTCTGGTCCCAGGGGACATCGTGGCCACTTTGTAGACGGGAAAACTGAGTCCCAGGGAGGTGGAGGGACCTGCTGGGACCCACGCAGAGAGGGTAGACACAGCAGGATCCTCATGCAGACATCTCTCTGACTCCAGAAAGAAAGAGGCGTGGACTGGCTGGGCCCCTGGGCTCCCAGCTGTGGTCGGCTCCATCCCCGCTTTCTCCTCCTTTCCAGGTGCTGGACTCCTCGGCACATTCGGGCCAGGTGAGCCCATAAGAAGGAGTACAAGCAGGGGCAGAGCTGGTCTGGTCAGAGGGCAGCCCTAGAACCAAAACAATTTGGGGTGGGGCCGTGGGAAAACAGGCCGGCAGAGGGGTTGCCTGCACCCCGCACAGAGGCCTGGCCTCACCCCCAGCCTTTTCTCACTTCCCGTCCACCTCCTCCCAGCCCCTGTGTAGACAGGAAAGGTCTGAGCATGTCCCCTGCCCTCTCGGAGTTCAGGAAACAGCCTTGGCTTGGGAGAAGCCACGGCCAGAGCTGGGAGGGTGAGAGGGAACAGGCTCCGGGTGCCGGGAATTGGGTCCTGCCCGACCTCCATGCCACTCCCACCTGGAGGTCGAGGCCGTCTTACAGAGGGCTGGCTGCCTTTCAGAGGGGTCCAGGTCACGCCGGCAGGAAACGAGGGGGCGGAGGGCTAGTTGGAAGGGAGACTGCACCCAGGGGTGGCTCAGCAGGCCCCATGGCCGAAACTGGTCCCCAGAGAGTGCTTGCCCCTGGGGCTCGGGACCCTGGCAGCCGGGACTGGCATTTGCAGGCGAGATTCTCATGTAATTGGAAACAAACCCAGCACGGTTGTGAACTCCAACCCACTTGCCCATCCGTCCTGGCCAGGGCCGTGGAATGTCTCGGGGGGGTGGGGGGAGACGGAGCAATTGGGCCCAGATGTGGGAAGGAGAGAGCCAGAGGGACCCATTTGGCTTCTCATAAACGTCTTAGCAAGGCGGCTCTGGACTGCACAGGCTGGATGGAAGGACACACGGCTTGTGGGGACATGGGGGACATCCAGATGCAGGTGAAGGAGAGGGGCTGATTTGGGGGCGTTTGCAAGGGAGCAGAAGAGAGGCCGCACTGGCCAGAGGGAGGTCTTGCTTACAAATGCCGCTCTGCTCCAACCCTCGCAGAATGTCCTGCCTGATCCTGCGGGCTGGCAGGCCTTCTAGGAGAAGCACAGGCCTGGCCCGGGCTCGTTAGAGAGCACAGCACCATCCCAGCACAGCATATAACAGTTGGTCACTAAACAGTGGCTGTTATGCTATCAGGATCACCCTCAATACCAAAGCCTTAGGGACCTGAGAGTCTGCACGCTGATCACAGCACAGCCAGGTTCCTGCCTGACTCCAGAGACCCTTCCCATCCCGAGCCCCGGGATGATACCCACACACCAACCTCTCCTCACCTGTGTCTGTCTCTTCCCTGCAGGTGCCGGAGGGCTCGTGGGTGGTGGACTGGGAGCAGGTGAGTACTGCCACCAGGCAAGATGACCCTCTGGGAGTCAGCCGCAGAGCCCAGCCCAGGGCATCTGCCTGGTGTGGAAGGCAGTCCAGGGTACAGAGGTAGGGGCCAGACTCCTTCCTGGGCACTGATGGGGCCTGATGCTGACACCACCTGCTCCGAGCACCTGCCCAGCTGGGTACCTGGTAGGTTATCACACAGTGATGGGGGCTGAGGCCCAGAGGTCAGGGAAACAGAGTCACTCAGTTCAGCAGGGGTCCAGGAAGGCATTCCAGAGGAGGTGGGTGTGGAAGATTGACCCCAAAGACCCACACAGTGCTGACCCATTAACCGCCAGCACAGAATCCGGGCCTGGTGAGCAGAGGTCACCGCTTGGTCTTGATGTCCGTCAGAGAGCTGGGGAGCCTTGAATGTGCTTCCTGACCAGGGCAGGGGCTTAGGAGTCTCCAGGGGTGCGGTAGCTCAGGACCTCTCCCCATCCTTCCCTCCGCAGGGCTCGGCTTTCCTGCAGGCACCTTCCCGGGGGCTCTGGTGCCCGGTGGAGCAGCCGGCGCGGCGGCAGCCTACAAAGCTGCCAAGGCTGGTGAGTGGCACCCTGGGACACACCAGACACCCTCTGGCTTCTGTGGACCTCCCACTTTGCAAAGAGCCTTCCCCACGTCCCACTGGGAGGCAGGTGGGCGAGACCCTTCTCTCCCACGGACTGAGGCTCGGGAGGTTGCTACCTGTGCCCAGTCTCAAAGTGGGTTGGTGGCAGGGCCAGACCCGGGTGCTGAGCCCTCAACATGCAGCCCAAGGCCCTTCTTCCTTCCCGCCGTCCCTTGCAAGACGCCTCACCCCTCCCTCTCCTGATTCAGCAGGTGCCGGGCTTGGCGTGGGAGGAGTCGGCGGCCTCGGTGGCATCGGCGGCGTCGGTGGCATCGGTGGTTTAGGAGTATCTACAGGTATGGCCCTAGCCCCGGGCTCCCGAGGGGAAGCCTGCAGGCCCGGGTGGAGCCCACTGTGACGCTGCCCTTTCCCTGCCAGGTGCGGTGGTGCCTCAGCCCGGAGCTGGAGTTGGTGTTGGAGCCGGAGCAAAGCCTGGGAAAGTGCCTGGTGAGTGTGGATTCTCTGGGACGGGAGGACAGAGGGCAGAGAGGGCCAGAGACAGAAGAACAGGGTTTCTCCACTCCCCCCGCACTGGGAGGGCAAGGGCGGGCCTGGCCGAGTAGGGCAGGGGCATAGCCAGGCCCAGAGCTTGGCACCCCACCTGCGAGATGGAGAGAGGGCCCTGGCCTACCTCACGGGCCCTTCTCCTGGGACCTCAGAGCAGAAAGAGAACTCAGAGGCAGGCTCTGTGGCAGGTTGGCAGGTGGCAGATGGGGAAACCAAGGTTCGGGATAGCGAGTCAGTGTGAAAGCTTGCAGCCAGTCCTGGCAGAGTAGGCGAGCCTGGTGTCCTCCGACTCCCCATGGGGTGCTCGTTCTGCCACACCAAGTCCTTTAGGAAGTGACTTCAGGTTAAACCAAAGGCTGCCTGAGTCCACACAGCAGGGAGGGGACATCTGGAAGCTGTTAGCCAGAGGTGGGCTGGCCCGGCCGGTCGTGTAAACAGGCTCCAGGAGACGGAGAGAATCCACGCAGAGAAGGGTTTGCAGATGGCTTCCAAAGCTCGTGGGAGGAGGGCTGCGGCCACCCCACATCTGTCCCTGGCGGCTCCCGTCGGGCCCAGGGGCTGCTGGTTTGGGAGCCCTGGCGCTGCCTGGGAGGGAAGGGCTGGGGAGGGGTTCCCTGCAGGCTGAGCTGCTGCTCATGGCGCTTTCTTTTGGCCACAGGTGTGGGGCTTCCGGGCGTATACCCAGGTGGAGTGCTGCCAGGCACAGGTGAGGGCAGAAAGGAGGAGGAGAACCCCACAGGAAGAAAGACAGCCTCTGTCAACCTCCCTGGTGGCCCGTAAACTCCCCTCCAAGCAGAGGCCACCAGAGGCCTTAGGTCCTGGCCAGTGCTGTCTCCCTGAGCATCAAAGCTCAGGCTGACGGCCGAAAAGGCTCCCCCATTCCCACCTCCCCCCAAGCTCAGCCAGCTTCCCGGCCCCACCCAAGCCCTGATCCCAGGCCCAGACCATTGTCACAGCCTGAGGCAGGTCCCCGAGGACAGACCCCAGTGTGACCAGCTGCTTCCCAAAAGCTGTGAGTCACCAGGGGGCCCGCCCAGTGAGTCTGCCCTGCCAGAGACCCCAAAGAGCTGCCCCCTCAACCTCCGCTCCCTGCCAGGGCCTGACCACCCCGCCCAACATGTGACCTCCTGAATTCCCCCAAAAGCCCAGATTTAGGCTGCTCGGCGGGATTTGCTGACAGAGTGGTCCTCCCTCCCCCTCCCTGCTCCTGGCCAAGGCGGCCCAGCCCTAGGGGTGACAGAAGTGGGAGACACCAGCACGTGGGTCCCCAGCAGCAGCAGGAAGATGGCTTTGAGGGCCTGGGTGGAGTGAGCATCGAACCAGAGCCGCATAGGGCACGGGCTTCGCAGCCCACGGCGAGCCCTCCGCACACTGGCTTTCCCTGTCTTTGCCTTCTCCGTGGAGGGTGGTCAGGGCGGCTTTAGAGATTAACTCTGGCGTACAGATGAGGCTGACTGAGACACGAGCTCACATGGCTGGGAAATAGGATTAAAGCTCAGATCCTCTGACCTTGAGCCAGACAGGGAGGAAAGTCAACACAAGCCACCCCGTGAGCCGTGCCTGTCACTGACGGGCCTTAGGGAGGTCAGCTGGGGGACCCGAGGATCGGAGAGGGGGCCAGTCAGGCCTGCAAGGCCTGCCTTCACGCCTCACTGCGGGGCCCTTTCTGCCTCCCCGCAGGAGCTCGGTTCCCTGGTGTGGGAGTGCTCCCTGGAGTTCCCACTGGAACGGGCGTCAAGGCCAAGGCCCCAGGTATGCAGCCGGCTGGGCGGGGCGGGGTGGGGGGTGCTGTGATGGGACTGTCCAACCACCATCCTGCCAGGGAGTGGGGCAGGTGAGATCCCAGCCTTGCTCGGGGCCCTCTGGATGGCACCCCTTGTGCTCCAACCCTGGTGCAGCTGGCAAGAATGGGCAGCCCATGCTCAGAAATCCCAGTGCCAGGGCTGGTGACGGCTCTTTGTCATTGCAGGCGGAGGTGGAGCTTTTGCCGGAATCCCAGGTGAGGCAAAGCGGGCAGGGACGGCAAAGCAGTCGGCCAGGCAGGGACTCTCGCCCTGGGAGGCACTGGGCACCTAGAATCCCATTCAGGCCTGCCCAGTTTCCCTCAGGCCTGCCGCCCTGGGCCTTGGGCTGGCTTCAGCACAAAATGGGCCAGCCCAGGCCCTCACATGCATAGCAGCCCAGACAAGCCCACTTCACCCACCAGTCTATGCCAAGGGCTGCAGGCCCAAAGTAGAGCTCCAGTCCCAAGAGGAAGAGAGTCCGGCAACCTCCTAGAAGAAGGGACCATCGCTGGGGAGTGCTTAGCTGACCCACAAGGGAGAGGCAGCGAGGCCTTCTAGGCAGGATGGCCTCTGGGCACTGTGGGGAGCTGCTTCTGTCCGAGCAGAGGTGGAATGTGAGGCAGAGGGCTTGGAAGGGGCTGCCGGGACACGAGAGTACCCTCTTTACTCTCACAGGGGTTGGACCCTTTGGGGGCCAGCAGCCTGGAGTCCCACTGGGGTACCCCATCAAAGCACCCAAGCTGCCAGGTAAGTCAGAGGGCTAGTTCAAGAGGCATGACTCGCTGGGCCTCCCTGCAGAGAAGTCAGCCTGAGGGGGCTTTGTCTGGCCAGATGTCTTTGTGGGGGGTAGGGAAACCTGGATATCGAAGCCCACCTTGGTTGCCAGCTGAGGAGAGCACGGAGAAGTCAGTCCTGCCGGCGTCAGACTCATACCCACGAACACGCATGCACATGCACACACATACACAGAGACCCATGACCCCGATGGGAAGCCATTTGTGTTGATGGTGAGAATCACCCTTCATCCGCCAGGCTCAGTGGTTCACATCTGTAATCCCAGCACTTTGGGAGGCCAAGGCTGGAGGTTCACTTGAAGCCAAGAGTTTGAGACCAGCCTGGGCAACATAGCGAGATCCCCCCAAAATTATAAACAAATTAGTGGGACACACATCTGTTCTGACAGCGACTTGGGAGGCTGAAACAGGAGGATCACTTGAGCCCAAGAGTTCAAGGCTGCAGTGAACTATGATCACGCAACTATACACCAGCCTGGGCATCAGAGCAAGACCCTGGCTCTAAAAACAAATAAATAGATAGATAAGTAAATAAATAGGAAACACCATTCATCAGAAAGGCCCCTCTGACATCGACCTAGCTGCACCCCCAGCCCCCCTGCCCCAATCAGTTCAGACGATGAGAAGCTACTAGGACCCTAGGGCCGTGGTGGGTGGATGTCCCATCAGGCCTGGGAGCAGGGGTGGCCTCTCCCTCCTCCACCCAGGGCCTCGGCTCTCCTGAGAGCCTCTGGGACCCTCGTGGGGTGTTCTCAGTACCTGTAGGGGCAAGTCTGTCCGCTCGGGTAGGTAGGAGCCCAGCAAGGTGCAGACAAGCCCCTTACCCCGGCCTGCCCTCTCCCCAGGTGGCTACGGACTGCCCTACAGCACTGGAAAGCTGCCCTATGGTGAGTAAGGCCCTCCTAGACTATGGGCTTCCAGTTCTTTCCAGCTCCAGGGTCCCGGCAAGGGCGCTGTGGCCCCAGCTCTGGGCCAGGAGAACACCTAACTGGAGCGGGGTGGAGTCTCGGAGTGGGACTCGCTAAAGGAAAGAGCATGGAATTTGGACCCAGACGGTCCGGTTCTCAATCCCGGCCCTTCCCTTTATGGATAACAAGGCCTCGGATGAGCCATTTTGCTTCTCTGAGCCTCGGTGTCCCGGTCTGTAAAATGAGAATGATGATCCCACCCACATTTATATTTGTTTTCACGCCGGCTGGAGGTGACAAGGTGGAGAGCCAGGGCAGCCTGGGCCCTGAGGGCAGGGCAGGAGAGGGCAGCAGTGAAGTCTGCACAATGACCGCCGCGCTCTCTCCGTTCCGCAGGCTACGGGCCCGGAGGAGTGGCTGGTGCAGCCGGCAAGGCCGGCTACCCGACGGGGACCGGTAAGAAGGGTTCACCTCGCTGCCAGCGGCAGGGCTGACCAGGGTCTCTCCAGAAGGCAAGTTGCCCCCCCCCGCCTCCGGACCCTGCTCTGGACCTAGAGAAGGATCCCAGGCGGGGGCAGCTCGGTCAGCCTCTGCCTCCCGTGGTGAAGACCCCACCCTTACCTGTATGTCAGTGGGTTGATTCTCTCAGGGCTGGGGACCGGTGGGCTCTGGAGATGTAGGGACGCCGTTTTCAGGCTCTTTCTCTCCCCAGGGGTTGGCTCCCAGGCTGCAGCAGCGGCAGCTAAAGCAGCAGCAAAGTTTGGTGAGTATCCCTGGAGTTCCCACCTGCCAGGCCCCAGGCTCCAGCCTCTCCATCCCCATTACGACCAAGAGCCTGCCTGAGGACTCATGACCACCACGGCCGACCCCCCATTAATTCTCCATCCCTCCCTCCCCTAACTCCTATCCTCCCCCATCCCTCTATTATTCATTCACCTATCCTTCCACCTTTCCCTTCCTCCATTCTCCCTCCACCCTTCCATCTCCTTACTAATCTATCCCTTCTCCCCCCATCTCTTCATTCAATAATCCATCCCCCCTCCCCCCACCCATTCATTTCAGCCATCAGGGACAGATTGTAGGAATCGGCACTGTCAGAGGAGTTGTGACGGAGGCGTTATTTCGACCTGGGGGAAATGAAGAAGGCTTTCCAGAGAAAGCACCCCTTGATTCGGGCCTGAAAATATAAGGGTGGAGTTTGCCACGTGGTTCAGACAGGGAGGAGGAGGCCGAGCAGAGGGAATGGGCACCACGGTGGTTAGAAAGATGATTTTAGGTGGTGCGTATACGAGCCTTGAAAACACTTAATAGTTGTAGGTCAGTTTAATGTGTACTATAAAAATTTTAACTCCCTCCTGAAGCCAGTGAGCCCTTGGATAGCACTGCTGCAGGTGGGACACGGCCTTCCCGTGCCCATGCGGTTGGCAGAATGGGCATCTGTCCCCTACCCAGGAAATCCCCCGCTCAGGGTCAGACCCCTAGGGCTGAAGAACTGTCCTTCCTCCTGGGTGCCCCCCCAGCCCCAGAGCTGAGAATGTGGGCGAGCCGGGCCTGCACCTCGAGGCCCTGCGAGCCCCCGCCAGGCCCTGAGACTCGTGGCTGATGGGGACGGCTGGAATGTGGGAACAGGAGAGGGGGCCGCGAGGGGCTGCCAGAGCCAGGCGGCCAGGCACTTGGATTACAAACTTGGCGGAGTCCTCGGAACACAGGGAAAGGAAGCTTGGACATTCCTGCCGGGGCCCCTCTGGCCCGGGGAGCGGCCGCTTGTGGTTTCTCAGTATGTGGCAGTGATTAGAATGAGATTTGCCTAAAAACATACAAGTCCCTTAATGAGTGTGTTGAAACGGACACTTTGGGGGTGAGTCAAAGAACAGAAGGGTGGGGTGGGGGCCTCCCCAGGCAGGCCCAGCTGGAGACGCCTGGGCCCCATTCCCGGAGGGGATTGCACTGGTGAAAGGGCTGGCCTCCGAGTGGCCTGCCTGCCCAGCCTCAGAAGGGGGCTTGGGAAGCCATATTATGCCGTCCCCATCCCAACAGGTGCTGGAGGAGCAGGAGTCCTCCCTGGGGGCGCCATTCCTGGGGCCGGGGCAATTCCTGGGATTGGAGGCATTGCAGGTAGGGCCTGCCCCAGCAGGGGATGGGGGTGTCCTCAAGAGGACCACGGGGCAAGGACCTTACCTTCTGTGGCTATCTTTCCAGGGGCTGGGACTCCAGCGGCTGCCGCTGCTGCAAAGGCAGCCGCCAAGGCAGCCAAGTATGGTGAGTGTCCCTTGGGGTGGCAGGCCCAGGGCTTGGCCTGCCCAGGCCTCTGCCTGGGCCTTGGAGACCTTGGTCCCGTAAGGCTGGATGGACGTGGCCTTTGCCCACCTATGCCAGCCTCCCCACCGCCACCCCGGACATGCGTTGTTCATGCCCCTTGGCTTTGCTCCTCTGGTCACTCTAGCTAGGATGCCATCTCCATTGCTCCACTGATGGACTCAGCGGGGGGGGGGCCTGTGGAGCACCTGGCTCCTCCCACTTTTTCCCAGGGTCCACCCACAGGCCTCTGCTGCATCTACTGTCAGTGTGCCCAATGCAAGGATATCTACTTTGCTTTAGAAATAGATCACGCCTCTTCCCAGCCCCAGCCCCAGAATTTGAGCTCTGTAGGGACCATCTTAGTCCCTCCCATCTCTCTGACGACTTGTGTCCATGTGGAGGGAATGTCAACCCACCTTTGATCCTGCACTCAGGACCAGCGGTCACGCCCAAAACTCCCCTCAACCACTGCCCTTGGCAGCGTCCTGAGCTGCCCAGGGGCCTGGAGAACAATCCTTTTCCTTCCACAGGAGCTGGAGGCTTAGTGCCTGATGGGACAGGCTTTGGCCGGGGAGTAGTTGGCGTGCCAGGTGTCGGCGTGCCAGGGGTCCCAGGCGTTGGCGTCCCAGGTGTCAGCGTCCCAGGTGTCGGCATCCCAGGTGTAGGAGTTCCAGGTGTTGTGGTCCCAGGAGTTGGTGAGCTGAGCTGTGTGTGTGTGTGTGTGTGTGTGTGTGTGTGTGTGGTGTGCATGTGTGTAAGAGAGAAATATAGAGACTATTGCTAAAACTTTTAGGTTTTCCCAACATCTCACCCATCTGTCCATACCCTTGGCCAAGGCTTATGCCCTCATCCTCTCTCCCCTGGGCTATAACCACCTCTCAATTAGCTACTGCCAAGATCATCTTCTCCAATTAACTTTCTGGCTATCAGAGTGCTCCCAGGGGCAGGAACCATGTTTTCTTCATCTCTGTGTCCCCAGCCCTTAGCTGAGTAGGTACTCAGATTATGGGGGATGGATAAATGGATAGGTAGAAGGGTGGATGGATAGATGGGTGGGTGGGTAGATGGATGGATGGATGGATGGGTGAGTGGATGGATGGATGGATGGATGGATGGATGGATAGATGGATGGATAGGTAGGTGAATGGATGGATGGGTGCGTGGATGGATGGATGGGTGCATGGGCAGATGGACATTGTTTGGGCAGATGAGTTGCCATGTGGACAAGTAGGCAAATTTATGGGTGAGAGAGTGGGTATGTTGGTGGAGGATGGACAGACACAAGGATGGGTGGATAAATGGAGAGATAGGTGAAAAGGTAGCTAGATACATGAGTGGTTAGGTGGAAAGACAGATGGAGATAAGTGGTTAGAAGGATGTGGCCGGGCTCAGTGGCTCACACCTGTCCTTTGGGAGGCTGAGGTGGGAGGACTGCTTGAGCCCAGGAGTATGAGACCAGCCTGGACAACATGGCGAGACCTCACCTCTACAAAAAATGTTTAAAAACAGCCAGGCATGGTGGCATGTGCCCATAGTCCCGGCTACTCAGGAGGCTGAGTTGGAAAGACCACTTGAGTTCAGGAGGTCAAGGCTGCAGTGAGCCACAAGCATGCACTGCAGTCCAGCCTGGGCGACAGAATGAGACTCTGATTAAAAAGAAGAAGAAGGATGGGTGGATGAGCACCTGGTTGGATAAGCAGATAAGTAGCTGGATAGACGGAGGGTGGACAGGCAGTTGCCAAATGGATGGCTGGATAGATAGTTAGGTGAATCACTAGATAGTCAGATGAGTGGGTAAGTCGACGGAGAGAGGAGTGCATGCGTCGACGAGAATTGGGTTGGGCGGGTGGATGGAGGGCCAAGGGTAGACAGACAAGTGGACAGATAAAGAGATGGCTCAGTGGGTGGGTGGGTGGGTGGGGAAAGTTGGGTAGGCAAACAGACAAATGCGTGGATGGAGATGTGCGTGAGCGAATGGATGTGTGGACAACTCTGTTGACTTCATTGATAGAAGATGGACAACAGACAGAGGAGTGAACAGAGGGATACGTAGTGAGCATCTGTTCTCCATCCTCTCCTGAGCATTGCTGTCTCCCTTGGTCTCCCCAGGTGCTGTGTCACCAGCTGCGGCTGCTAAAGCAGCTGCCAAGGCAGCCAAATACGGTGAGTGTCATGCTAGTAGCTCTGCCCACCCTGCCCTGGCCTTTGCTTGCCAGAACTAAAGGATTCTCATCTCCTTGCCCCGAGAAGGGGAGTGACTTACCTAGGGTCACAGAGCAACTCGCTGGCAGAGCTGAGGGCCTGGGGGCCTCCGGACAATATCTCCCCCAAGGGTCTCCCGCCACGAGGCTACAGGGCTGAGCAGTCAGGCAGTCCCAGGAAGGCAGTCCCAGTGGGGAGAGCGACCTTGACCCTCCCTTCCCTGGCCAGAGCCCACTTGGAAGAGCCCGATCCTGGCTGGGGATACGGAACCTCCAAACATAGGGTTCCTCCCCAAGTGCTCAGAGAAGAAAGAGGTTAGAAGAGGCCTGAGGGGTGTTGGTAAAGGCTCGTGGTGAGGGTTGCTTGGGGACTGACAATGTCCCGTCCTGCCTGGACCAGGCTTGGGGGAAGCTCGCCTCCTCTTTCCTAGTCGACCAGCACCTCCGGGGCCCTCCTAGCCTCTCTCACTAAGGTCCTCTCCCACTGCATTGTCTTCCCTCCTCAGGGGCCAGAGCCGGAGTCGGAGTCGGAGGCATTCCCACCTACGGGGTTGGTGCTGGGGGCATTCCCGGCTACGGCGTCCCCGGAGTCGGAGGCATCCCTGGAGTCGGAGGTGTTCCCGGAGCTGGCCTCTCCCGTGAGATATCCTGGGAGATCGGCTGAGAAGGGGTGGGGGCTTCTCTTCTGCTGGACTGTACAGGGACAGCGGGCATTGTGGATCCTGCTTGAATATGCTCAGGGCGGGGCTAGGGAGGCGGTGGCGAGACCTTCAGGGCCTTGGGGGCAGGAGAAGTAAGCGCGGCCCAGCTGTCACCAGGCAAGACTTCTGAGGGTCTTTCTCGTTTCCTCATAGCTGCAGCCCAGGCAGCCGCTGCCGCCAAAGCTGCCAAGTATGGTGAGTGTGCCGCCTTACCTCTCCCCAACACCCGCTCTCCCAGGGTCCCCACGCCACGCTCAGAGCTGCCCTCCAGCATGGAGGCACACACCTGCCTCCCGGGCTGAAACAGCCTGGGTCAAGGTCACCCATCTCCCGCCCCATCTTGGGCCCAGGTCACACATCTTCTGCCCCGTCTTCCAAAGCTATGCTCGACTCCACGGCCCTCGCTGGTGGCCCACCGTTAGGACTATGGGCGGGTGGCCTGGCCATCACCCCAGCCCACACCAGAGAGCTGAAGGTGCCAGGTCACCGTTCCGTGCCTCCTCCCGCGGTCCCACCCCCAACTCCCCCAAGAGGTGGGCACTAGGAGGGGCAGGACTGGACACGCTTCACTCCTGGCAGGTGCTGCAGGAGCTGGGGCTCTGGGCGGGCTGGTGCCAGGCGCTGGAGGCGTAGTCCCAGGCGTGCCGGGGACCGGAGGAGTGCCAGGTGAGCTGCACCCCCGGCCCGGAGGCGGGGCCCTGGAGTTGACCCGAGTCGACTGCACCTCTTCACAGATGGGAAGACTGAGTCCAGGGATGGAGAAGAGGGGAAGCCACCTCCCCTAGACTAGTCTGGAGTGTTCTGGCTGCCGAGGGAACCTGGGAAGTCCCCTCCCTACCTGGGGAGGCTCAGGGACGTCAGCCGGCTGGGCGTCGGAGCCCATCTCTGCCCGGGTTGGGTGATCTCATTTACTCCGTGGGGCCTTTCTGGTTCCTTACCAAGTGGAAGAACTTGTCACCCTTGGCTCCCCTGTGCCCTTTCTTCTCCTCTCTTCAGAGGCCAAAGGGAAGAGAGTGAGTGACCGTGACATTAAGTGACAACCTTTCTCGGTTGTCTTTCCCATCAGGTTTCTCTTCTGCATTCCTTCTTCTTTCTGGGAGAAAACTCCCTTCTGGGTTTCCTCAAGAAATGAGTCATTTCCTGCAAAAGTTGCGGATACAGACACTATTAGGGCTTTTTAGTTTTTTGTCTTTTTGAGTTGGAGTCTCACTCTGTTGCCCAGACTGGAGTGCAGTGGCCGCTCCCGGCCACCGCAGCCTCGACCTGCTGGGCTCCGGCGATCCTTCTGCCTCAGCCTTCCGAGTAGCTGGAACCACAGGCGCGCGCTACCATGCCCGGCTCATTGTTGATTTATTGTAGAGATGAGGTCTCGCCAAGTTGCCCAGGCGGGTCTCGAACCCGCGGGCTCAGGCAATCCACTCACCTCGGCCTCGCAAAGGTGCAGGATTACAGGCTGAGCCACTGAGCCTGGCTAAAAGTTGATTTTTTAAAAAGCTAAACAAAATCAACAAGTCTTTAACTAGACTAAAAAAAAAAAAAGAGAAGACTCAAATAAATACAAGAAAGAATGAATGAAGAGACATTATAAGTGGTAACACAAAAATACAAAGGATCATATGAGATTACTATGAACAATTATACACCAAAAAATTGGATGGTCTAGAAGAAATGAATAAATTCATAGAAACATAAAACCTACCAAGACTAAATCATGAAGAAATAAAAAATCTGGATAGACTGACAATGAGTAAGGAGAATGAGTCAGTATTAAAAAAGTCTCTAATCAAAGGAAAGTCCAGTATCTTTTGGGTTCACTAATGAATCTTACCAAATATTTAAAAAGAACTAGCATGAATTATTCTCGAACTTAAAAAAAAAGTGAAGAGGAGGAAATACATCCAAACCTCTTTTACGAGGCTAGCATTACTCTTGAAAACAGAGGCCTTCCTGGAACAAGAGTTAATCAAAAATTAACATGGTGGATTAATATCTAAGATGATGTTGCTTTAGCTTCTCATTTAAGACAGAGTTGCTTTAACCTCCATAGAAGCAAAATGTTAGCAGAAAAATTTAGAAATATATTAAAAGAACCATTCAACATGATTGAGTGGGATTTATCCCTGGTATATGTAAGGCTGATTCAACATATGCAAATTGGTAAATGTAACACATCACATTAATAGAATGAAAAAGAAAAATCACGTGGTCATCTCAATAGATGCAGAAAAGCACTGGATGAAACTCAGCATTATTTCATGATCAAAACTTAACAAATGGTATAGAAGCAATGTACTTCAACACAGTAGAGGCCAAATATCACAAGCCACATCTAACTTTATGGTCAGTTGTAAATAACTTCAATTCAACATAATGCTAGAAGTCTTAACCAGAGCAATTAAGAAATAATTTTTTAAAAAAGGCATCCAGAGTAGAAAACAAGAAGTTAAATTGTACCTGTTTGCAGAAGAAATAATCTTACATATAGAAAACCTAAAAGACTCCATCAAGAAAACTATTTGAACTAATAAATTCAGTTAAGTTACAGGATACAAAATCAACAGACAAAAATCACCAACTCTTCTAAACACTAACAATAAACTATCTGAAAATACAAATTTTTAAATCCCATTTTTTTAAATTTTAAAATTGTGGGGTACAATTCAGGGCTAGGTATACAAATATTCACTGTGCAGGTACCCTTGTTGATGAGGTGTGCCCCTCCACCAGGCAGATTCCCACTATTGCTAATCCCACCTCCCTGTCCCTCCACACCCCCGCAGTTTCCCACTACTTTCAATCATTTTCTTATAGTATTACCATAATTGTTCAAGGTCAACTTATGAGTGAGAACATGTGATACTCAGTTCTTTGTTTCTGTGAAAGATCACTCAGTATTATAGACTCTATGTCCATCCAG